TTTCCATCATGTGTAAATTTTGCTAATTTTCTATTATTCTCACTAACGATACCGTTTAGCGCTTTTATTAAGAGAAAATATTGTATGTTTTTAGCGGCTTTTCATTATTTTTACATTTGATGGTTATACAGTTTTGAGAGTCAATGTTTTCATTATTAAAGAGATTTTCCGTAATTGAGCTAGAGTAGCAAAAATATTCGGGTTGTTTAAGTTTAAGTCTTTTTTCAATGAGATTTTCATTTTTTGGCTGGGGCGATCCATATCCAGAATCCGATGCCCAGGAGACATCACTATAAGACAATTGTAAAGACGACGTTTGAAAAAAGATCAATTTCTTCACAAAATTAAAAATTTTCAATTTAATTTTTTTTTACAAAATTATGGATTTCTGAAAACAAAAATTTTTATAAGATTGAGAAAAAAATAATGCTTTCGTTTTCAATGCTTGCTGAATAATATTTATTTGACTATAAAAAAGTAAACAATTCATGTATTTCTTATATTAACCATCTATGTTTTTTTTTTTTGATTTTGAACAACATGAAGTCACTTGCTTTACATACTTACATATATATGTAATATATGAAATATAGAATCGTAATAGAAATAGCACACAACATATCATTCTAGCAATTTACAAAATACTATTATTAATTCCAAAAGAAATTATCCGATAGCTAGATTTAATTTACATATATCTAACTATTTCTAAATTCTCTTTCCAACAGAGTTAAAAGAGGTTTACCTTTTAACACGTTGACTGCCAATTCCATTTTCTGAAAACTTTCCAAAAATGACATTTTGATTTTTTCACATTATATTACTAAAAATTTTCTTTCTAGATCATTGGTATCATCAAAAATCAAAAATGATGTTTTTTAAGGAGAAAAARGTCCTACGAGTTATCTCGTAGTTGGCGTCTGGGAAAGAACGCTACGAATTATCTCGTAGTAGGTAGGTCCTTTTTTTTCTCTAAAAAAAAAAAAAAACACCATTTTTGCTTTCTATAGTATTTTGTTTTATAGTTATTATTATTTATTAAAATTGTCATCATTTTATTTTTATTTTCTTTCTTTTTAGATTTATAAACATTCTCTAAAATTACTGTTATAATTATCAAGAACCCAATCTGGATAGGAAAAGGTCACTGAATCAAAGTGAAATACAACGCAAACCTAAGTGATTCAGAAGATGATTGCAGCGATGGTAGTAACGGCACTTATAGCCTTCTAAGAATACAAGTGATAGTGAAGATGAAGTCGTCTCCGAATCTGAAGATGTCCCCGAATCTGATAATAATGATTTGTGGACAGAAATTCAACAAAATCCTGAATTATTTCTTTTCGAAGAAAATGTTGGTGTGAAATTAGATACATCAAATTTGACAGTACAAACGCTGGTGGATTTACATATTTTTTTCGGATGAGTTTCTTGCATTACTGGTAGAACAAACTAATTTATATGCTGCGCAAGAAATTGCAACATTGGAAAATGGGAATCAAAATGCTATAAAAAAATCTAAAAGGATATCAAATTGGCAATACGTAAGTGCTACAGAGATGAAAGTTTTTATTGYACTTTTATTGCAAATGGGACCTTGTACTTTTCCAACAATAGAACATTACTGGACCACAAACGAGCTATATAATGTAAACTTTTACATACACATATGAGCCGCAATCAATTCCAGTTGATACTTCCTTATTTTCATTTGGTTGATAACTCACAATCATCTACCGACAGATTATACAAGGTGAGACCAATCCTAAATCATTTCAGCGATGTTATGCGTGACAACTATGTACCAAGTAAAAATATTTGTATTGACGAATCCATGATGCTTTGGCGGGGAATATGGTGTCAAACTATATGAACTATCTGAGTCCGATGGTCTTGTAATAAAAATAAACATTTACAGCGGAAAATCTGAGGGAACTACCCATAATGTAGGTCACACTGCTGACGTTGTTTTACATATACTTGAGGACTATATCGATAAAGCCTACGCGCTTTACATGGATAATTTTTATAATTCAGTTAGTCTTACAAAACTGTTATATGTATACACGAAAAACTTATGTTATGTTTATCTGTTACGAAGTAACAGAAAAGGAAACCCCAAAGATGTGGTAAATCCTAAACTAAAAAGAGGGGAGTGTTTTTGGCAGACAAATGGTCCTGTTACTGTATGCAAATGGAAAGACAAACGAGAAGTCCTTTCCATTTCAAACATGCACGCTATTGAAATGGTAGAGGTGCCCAATCGCAATGGAACAATTCTATGAAACCGAATATAATTCGAGATTACAATAATGGAATGCCTGGCATTGACCAATCAGATCAAATGATTTCGTATTACTCATCTCTAAGAAAGACTATTAGAAGGCACAAAAAGGTTTCACTCCATATTATAGAGATACGTATACAAAATGCTCACAGAATTTACCAAAAAGAAACTTCATCTAAAATAAAACTGATAAAGTTCAGAGAAGAATTCGTCTAAGATCTAAAGAGCTCAGAGTATATTCAGAGTATTTACCACCAACGGAAAAAACAGCGTCCGACAAAGCCATGTCGTGTGTGTACCCAAGAAAAAAAAAACCCCGAGAAACGCGTTACTTCTGTCCAGACTGTCCAGAGAAGCCAGAGCTTTGTGTGGAAAATTGTTTTTAAAACTACCACAAAAAATAATATATTGCTTTATTTATTGTATTTGAGTTAATTTTTCCATTACATTATATTGAAAGAATTCTTCCATACATTTTTTTTTTTTAATAAAAAAAAAAGCTCACAGAAGCCAAACCCAAAATTTTTTTATTTTCCCAGAAGCCATTTATCGATACTAACACTATTATAATACGGTTTTACTCGTAGCTACACAAAAAGTGGTAGTTTTAGCAGAGAACTTAAAACCAGAGAACTTAAAACATAGAGAAGGTGCAGGTTCGATGTCGAACAATTTATAAGATTGTGATAGGGAATTCACCTCACAACCACAGAATTCACGATGTGA